AGTAGTAGTAGTAGTAGTAGCAGTAGTAGTAGTGGTAGTAGCAGTGGTAGTAGTAGTGGTAGTAGTCGTAGTGGTGATAGTCGTCGTAGCCGTAGTCGTAGTCGTAGTCGTAACATTAGTAGTAGTAGTAGTCGTCGTCGTCGTCGTCGTCGTCGTCGTCGTCGTCGTACTAGTAGTAGTAGTAGTAGTAGTAGTAGTAGTAGTAGTAGTAGTCGTAGTAGTCGTGGTAGTAGTAGTAGTAGTAGTAGTAGTGGTAGTAGTAGTAGTTGTAGTAGTAGTAGTAGTCGTAGTAACAGTAAGGTGGTGGTAGTAGTAGCAGTAGTAGTAGTAGTCGTAGTAGTAGCACTAGTAGTAGTAGCAGTAGTAGTAGTAGTAGTAGTAGTAGCAGTAGTAGTAGTAGTAGTAGTAGTAGTAGTAGTGGTATTAGTACCAATTGTAAAAATAGTAGCAATCGCCATCGCCGTAGTAGTCGCCGTACTAGTCGTAGTAAAAGTAGTAGTCGTGGTAGTGATAACACTTGTAGTAGTATTCGGGACGTTACGAATGATAGTCGTAGGAATTACCCTGCGGCGTACCCACCCCTTTATATACATGTGGTAGTTACATTCGGGGCCACTCAATGTTGTCCGGCATGCTGAACAACCGCAGTGCGGAAAAAGAGCACCCATCAGTGAACTCACAAGAGCGCAGCAAGAAGAGCAGCGACAACGCGTAAGACGTACCTCCGCGGGGCCTCCCAGGAACCCACGAACATGACGACAATTGTGCAGATCGCAACCCCCCAGGGGGCGGCGAGGTCCCGAGGTGGTCCGCGTGGGACGTACCTCCGGTGGGCCTCCCAAGAGCCCACGAACGTGGCGACACGTGCGCAGATCGCAAGCCCCCCAGGGGGCGGCGAGGTCCCGAGGTGGTCCGCGTGGGACGCGCCTGCCTCCCAGGAGCCTTCGAAAGTGGCGACAATTGCCCAGATCGCAAGCCCCCCAGGGGCGGCGAGGTCCCGAGGTGGTCCGCGTGGGACGTACCTCTGCTGGACCCCCCAGGAGCCCACGAACGTGGCGACAATTGCGCAGATCGCAAGCCCCCCAGAGGACGGCGAGGTCCCGAGGTGGTCCGCGTAGGACGTTCCTCCGCTGGGCCTCCCAGGAGCCCAGACGCAAGGGGCGGCGAGGTCCCAAGGTGGTCCGCGTGCGACGTACCTCCGCTGGACCTCCCAGGGGCCCACGAAGTGGCGATAATTACGCAGATCGCAAGCCCCCCAGGGGGGGGGCGAGGTTCCGAGGTGTTCGGCGTGGGACGTACCTCCGCTGGGCCTCCCAGGAGCTCACGAACGTGGCGACAATTGCGCAGATCGCAAGCCCCCCAAGGGGCGGCGAGGTCCCGAGGTGGTCCGCGTAGGACGCACCTCCGCTTGGCCTCCCAGGAGCCCACGAAAGTGGCGACAATTGCGCAGATCGCAAGCCCCCAGGGGGCGGCGAGGTCCCGAGGTGGCCCGCGTGGGACGTACCTCCGCTTGGCCTCCCAGGAGCACGCGAAAGTGGCGACAATTGCTCAGATCGCAAGCCCCCCAGGGGGCGGCGAGGTCCCGAGGTGGCCCGCGTGGGACGTACCTCCACTGTGCCTCCCAGGAGCCCACGAAAGTTGCGACAATTGTGCAGATCGCAAGCCCCCCAGGGGCGGCGAGGTCCCAAGGTGGTCCGCGTGGGACGTACCTCCGCTGGACCTCCCAGGAGCCCACGAAGTGGCGATAATTACGCAGATCGCAAGCCCCCCAGGGGGCGGCGAGGTCCCAAGGTGGCCCGCGTGGGACGTACCTCCACTGTGCCTCCCAGGAGCCCACGACAGTGGCGACAATTGCGCAGATCGCAAGCCCCCCAGGGGGCGGCGACGTCCCAAGGTGGTCCGCGTGGGACGTGCCTCCGCTGGTAGTATTAGTAGTAGTAGTAGTAGTAGTATTAGTAGTAGTAGAAAAACTAGTAGTAGTAGTAGTAGTAGTAGTAGTAGTAGTAGTAGTAGTAGTAGTAGTAGTAGTAGTAGTCGTAGTAGTAGTAGTAGTAGTAGTAGTAGTAGTAGCAGTTGTAGTAGTAGCAGGAAAAGTAGTCGTCGTCGTCATCGTCGTCGTCTTAGTGGTGATAGTGGTGGTAGTAGTAGCAGTAGTAGTAGTAGTAGTAGTAGTAGTAGTAGTAGTAGTAGTAGTAGTAGTAGTAGTAAGAGTAGTAGTAGTAGTAGTAGTAGTAGTAGTAGTAGTAGTAGTAGTAGTAGTAGTAGTAGTCGTGGTAGTAGTAGTGGTAGTAGTAGTAGTAGTAGTAGTAGTAGTAGTAGTAGTAGTAGTAGTGGAAGTAGTGGCAGTAGCAATATTAATCCTCCCCCTTCCTTTGCACCAGGGTGCCGAAGCAACGTTCTAGAACGCGGGAAACTTTATGCTTTTACCAGCAGGGGAGGGGGGGAGTGGGGGGCTCTCAACATCTTCGTGAGGTTTGCCATAGCTTCGCAATCGCCGAACCTCGCACGAGTGGGTTGCCCGCAACTGCTCCAGGAGTTCGTGGAACCGCGCCGGCGAGGGCCGCCCGCCCGCCGGCATTGGCGAGGGCATCGCCCTCCGTGGCAGCGGCTGGCGGCGGCTGTGCGAACTCCCAGCGCTGGGCTCGAGCCAGTAGCGGGAAGGGGGGGGGCACGGGTCGAGATTATGGGTTCGGAAATGTTTGTGTCTTTGTTCTGCCTTTGGGGGCCGTTTTCGGGCCCCGGGGCTGAGAAACGAATCCGGGGTGAAACGCTGCGCCAGCTGGACCCTGGGAGGGGTCCCGGGACCGATCTCGAGCGGAGCCTATCAGCGTTGATGCATCCAGGTCGCCCAGCTTTGCCCTTGGCGCCGCGCGAGCGCGTCTATCTCAGCGCTCTCGCGCTGGTCTGAGATGGTCTCAGTTAACCTGGGGCGAGCATGGACAACAGCAGCCTTCAACCAACACAAACGCCCATTGCGGTAGCCGTTGGGCGCACTGGCGTGGCTCCCGCGCAGCCGATCCTCTGACGAATCCCTTGGCAATTTCGTATCATCGTGTGGAATCATGACGAGAAACGTCGACCCCATCGACCATGACCATAAGAATAGTGAGTGTTCACTGAGAGAAACTGGAATGCACGAAACAGAAGGACGTTGACATGCTCTTCCCCCCTCATCCTCATCCTCCCCTTTTCCTCCTGCTCCTCCCCCTTTTCCTCCCTCCTCCCTCTCCACCTTCTTCCCCGAGTCCCGAAACTCCCTCTTGACAGCAGAACAAGTGGTATATTGCGCAAGCTTTTGGTTTAGTCCTGGGCCTAGCTGGAATTATGTAGGCGCGCTTGACTGGTCTACCTGCGTGCGCTGTACTCCCCAGCGGTTGGCACGTCATCTAGGTCATTCCGAAGTTGTTACATAAGTGGCGCGTGGCGCGAACGTCTTGTGCGCAGTCTGTCTTCTATCTGACCAGCACGTACCTCTCCTGACTTCACCGAGACCGCCCCTGTGCAACTGGGGGACAACCTGCAGATATTCTCACGCGCTGCCCCAAGGACACCCCGATCCAGAGAAAAGGCGGCCCTCTGCACACTTTGTTTGATTCGCGGGTCGAGAGCGCACCTCTTCCGGTCGAAGCTAAACAGGCCGCGCGAAGCTTGAATTAACAAAGAGGAGGGGAGAGAAGAAGAGGCCTCACGGCCAGGCAAGGAGGAGGCAAAGCCTCGGGATCAGGCGGTGCCGAAGACGACGTGCTTGCAAAGGAACGCCTTGTACAGGAACCCGGTGGCGAAGCACCGGAAGAGGCAAAATGCTGTGGTTTGTGGTGCCGTCAACGGCTCATCATGTGCACCAGCCGGCTCTCTGCACACGCCCGCCTGCGGACGGCGGAGGTCGCAGTCCCTCCACCGGCTCCCCTGGCCGCGGGGGCCCTGGCGGTGGCCCAAGGACACCCCGATCCAGGACACCCCGATCCAGAGCAGAGTCGGCTCTCTTCACCCCCACGACTTCTGAGGGGGAGGGAAGGGTTCACTTCGTTCGGGAGCTCCCGAGCGAAGTGAACCCCGCCCTCCCCCTCAGAGATCGTGGTGGGTAGGGGTAGGTTTCGCGTGCGGCCCCCGATCTCTGCACCCTCCGCGCCCACACTGCGGACGGCGGCGAGATCGCCGCCCCTCCACCGGCTCGCCCCTGGCCGCGAAGGGGGGCCTTGGCGGTGGCCCGGACCTCGCCGTCGCGGAGCGTCTCGTTGAGCGCGCGCCTCGCCTCTCCCCGCGCGCGCGCGCCGGCCAGGAGGAGCGCGTGCCCGCCTACCAGGTCGGTCGGCACAGTCAAACACCCTGGTGAGGACGCGCGGTAAGGACGCGGGACCCTTGGAAGCCGAAGCTAGGATTCCTGGGGCGGCGGGCGACGAACACCTCGAGGACGCAAGAGCAAGGAAGAGCAGGGACGCCAGGGTACCCTGAGCACAGTCGCGCGTCCTTGTCAGGGTCTTTGACTACATCGTCGAATCGGATCGAATCGGAGTGTGCGTGGGATCGGGCTACGTCGGCACGGAGTCGAGCTCGAGTCGGGATGGCGGATCTGGGATATGCGCGACAATGCCACGCAGGCATCCCTCCGCGCCAGGACGGCGAGATGTCGGCGTCGTGTGGGCTCGAACTCGTCGGAATCGGTGTCGAATCGGATCCATCGGATCGAAAGGGACCTGGGCCTGGGACGGATGGATCGAGCATCGAGGGGAAGGGCCATCAGTAGAACACAGGAGGAGGAAGAGGAGGAAGAGGAGGCGGAGGAGTAGGAGGAGGCGGAGGAGGAGGAACAGGAGGGGTGGGAGGCGCAGGAGGAGGCGGCGGAGGCGGAGGAGGAGGAGGAGGAGGAGGAGTAGGAGGAGGCGGAGGAGGAGGAAGAGGAGGGGGGGAGGCGCAGGAGGAGGAGGCGGAGGAGGAGGAGGCGGGATGCGGGAGGAGGTGCCTGCGCAGGCGCGTTGGGGATTAGGGGTTAGGGCAGGACGAGGAGAGAGCGCGCGGCCGCCTGGGATCCGGGCCTCGAACGTGCTGTAGAGCAGGTGGCGACCAGTGTTCCCGAGTTCGGGCATGCGGCATCCAGGGACCATTCACAGACGTCCCAAGATTCATGTTGCTCCCATCGTACCTAAGGGCCACATCCCAGAAGCAGTTCCGAGCACCCAGGAAAAGTATCGGAACGGTGGCGAACGAGGATCGCCTCCCAAGGCCCGACACTTGTAAACCCTCCAGTTTCGGAGCTTGGTGCTCAGAACTGTTTCTGGTGATCAAGGCTAAAGTAACTTGGAACATCATAGCCCAGGATAAAAAGTAAGCCCCGGGGAAAGGGTCAAGAGCTCCGTCTGGGAGGGCTGCGCATCGAAGAATGCACGAAGTCGGAGGTCTGGGGGCGCATGGATCAGTCGAGAAGAGTGGAGGCTATACAATTGAGCCCCCAGAGGAGGAGAAGGAGGGGAAGGAGGAGGAGGAGGGGGGAGGGGGAGGAGGAGGAAGAGAAAGAAGAGAAGGAAGAGGAGGAGGAGGAGGAGGAGGAGGAGGAGGAGGAGGAGGAGGAGGAGGAGGGGGAGGAGGAGAGAGATTGTTGGTTTTGAATGTTTGACTCTGTTTGGGCCTCCAGGGCCCTCCCGGGAACTTTGGAGGAATAAACCGCCCAGAATGCGCCAGTGGTATGCTCCACGTGATACGCCGTTCGCGTATTACTCGACAAATCGTAGGCCAAAGGCGCGTGGACGCTGAGTGCCGTGGAGCGCTGTGCAACGCTATCCACAGGCGTTGATCATGCGTATTGGTGAACACTAAACGTGGCACGAACCGCCTTCCTTTGAACGGGAGGGGCCCAGGTTGGAGGCGGCCGAGGGGGTTGAACTGGCTGAAAATCAAGAAAATCAGTCAGGACAGCGGGATGAAGCCAGATGGGTCAAAATTCGTCCCCAGACCCGTCCCAGGGTTCATTTGGTACAATTTCTCACCCCTAAGCGAATCCATGTTCCCCGGGCCCGGGGCCCGAAAACCTCCCCCAGCAGAGGCAGAACAGAAGCAAAAAACTTCCTCGAAACCAAAACCTCAAACCTGCCCAACCTTCCCAGAGGCTTCCTAGATGGGGTCCGAGTAGATGGGGTCGGAGGATCGCGCTGCATCGCCCATGTATCGGCGACGTCGGCGGCGCATCGGCGACGTCGGCGTGGAGAACATCGGGCTCCGCATCGCGCCGCGTCGGCGATGCATCGGCGATGCGGGGCGATCCTCCGACCCCGTCTACTGCGACCCCATCTGGGAGGGCTAAGCTTCCTGCTGGGTGGGACCGGTGCTGGCCACCTCAGACCCTCAGACGGCTGGAGGGTCGCCCTCCCCAGGCCGCGGCGGGGTGGTCAAAAACGCCCGGGGATGAGAAAGCGGCCCTGGGGTACAGTCGGCCCGTATCAGAAGGGATGGCAAAGGCTTGGACGCCGAACTTGAAGCTTTTCGAGCGGGCCGCGGCCAACGAAAGCGGCCAAGGATGGACCGGGGCGGCACGGCTGCAAGGGTACCCTTAGGAAGTCTGCCCATCCTTACTGTGCGGATCAACTGTACAGTAGGGAACCGACCACAAGAAACCTTCCACAAGAAACCCAACCCTGAGAACCCAGGACGTCCATCGATTTTTGATGTGGGAACGTCACGCTCCCCATCGCAAAACCATCGAAACCCAAGAAACCTAGGGCACCCTGGAGGCAAGCAGGGTGTTTCTTGGCATGGGTCCCCACTGTAGAGGCCGCTGAGCCGAGTCCAGAACCCGTCTCCCTCGGTGCCCGTTTCCTTCGTGGCAAAACCCTGGCGGCGTGCCTGGGGCCTGGGAGAGTTTGTTGATCCTGAGGCGAGAGGACCAACCGTGTAGGCGAGGACGGTGGCCACGCCTGAGGCGGAGGAGGAGGAGGAGGAGGAGGAGGAGGAGGAGGCGCAGGCAACCCCTCGTGTTCTCCAGGGGAAGGCGGTGCGAGCGGGCAGGCCTTCTCCGAAGGCGGCGGGGGCTTCTCGGAATCCCACGCGCCTGCTGAACGCTCGTCTGTGCTTTCGGGCAAGGCTTCAGGAACTTCTCAGAAGGCCCGAGGCCTTCCTGGCCTTCTCAGGAGGTCCGCCCCCTCTCGCTTGCCCCCTGGGCTTGCCACCCGAAGGCAATGCTCTTCCAGCCGTTGCGAGGACATCCACAACGCACTGCCCGGGACGGAGGGCGTCCGAACGTGGCCAGAGCAAACGGGGGCGGAGAATCGCACCGCATCGCAGCTGCTTCGCCGACGCCTCGGCGACGTGGGGACGGAGCAGATCGGGCTCTGGATCGCGCCGCACTGCGGATGTCTCAGCGTTGCGACGCGATGCTCGGACCCGACATACTCCAGACCCATTTTGGGCGGCCCGGGTGTGAGGGCGTGCAGGCAGAACGGAGGAGGGGGAGGAAACGGAAGCAACAGGAGGAGCAAGATGAGGAAGGGAGCGGGAACGAGAGAGGGGAGTTAGAACTGGAGTCAGAACTGGAAGAAGATGAGAGATGGAGAGGACCTCCTGACAGAACCCATCAACGAGAACCTGGACCGCACTGGAACCTCCTGCAACCTCCAAGAACCGTTCAAAGCCTATTCTTGGATGCCCGAAATGGGTACGGAAAGAGTGGGTACAATGCCCAACAGCGGTTCCTGCTCATTTTGAGCAGGACTCGCTGTCGGTGTCGCCGCGGCCTGTGTACATTTGAGACAGGAGGCCGCCTGCCCACCACCGGCCGCTGTTGGTTTGGGACAGCATTTGTTGTTGGGCATTGTATCGGGGATGGACAGACCTCCCTTTTGTAAAACGTGGTTTAGTGAAAACGACCTAAAAGCCCAAACCTGGCGGGCGCAAGCCTGGAAAATAACGGCCGCGGAGCCCTCTCGAGAACCGAAAACGGGCAATTCACTGATCGACGTGTCACTGTTGGGGGTTCTGTCCGCCCCCGATTGCACCCATTCTCTCCGTACCCATTTCGGGCGTCCAGACCCTTCCGCCTGCGCCTGCGCATCCTTCCCCCTGGTCGGGGGCGCGCCTCTCGCCTCCCCTGCCCCTCCTCCTCATCCTTCTCGGCCTTCCCGCTGCTGCTGCTCCTGCCGCTGCTTCTCCTCTCCTGCGGGACGTGGAAACGACCACAGCCACTGCTTTTCTGCTGTTGCCGCCCTCCAGTCAGCAGAAGCAAAGCTGTGGTTGTGGTCATTTTCGTTAAGCTTGGCTCCAGGGAAATGACCACAACCACTGCTTCTTTTTCGGCCGGCTGGAAGGCGGCGCAAACAAGAAGCAAGGGCTGTGGCCATTTTCCCGTCCCGCATCTTCGCACTGCTGCACAACAACAGGAACCATATCTTCATCGCCGGTTGCTCTTCGCAGCTCCTGCTGCCCGAGGCCCCGGGCCGAGAAAACAGATGCCGAGAAGCAAACACAGACGAGGACAACGATTGGCTAAAGACATGCGCCGACCTCCCAAGAAGACGGCCAACTATGAGCCTACACTTAGGTCGGGCGTGTCCCTCTACAGGCGGATTTTTGGAGAAAATAGAACATAGTCAAACAATACTCAAACGATTCCCCCCCCAAAAAAGTCCCCATGAGATGTTTTGACTACTTTTGAATATTCCTCCTGTAGAGGGAGGGACAAGCCCGACTTGAGCCTACACCTATTCTGGCCAGGCCCGGCCTTGGGCCCGGGATCGGTGCATACGCCCTCCCTGCCGAGGCAGGAGGGCACAACATTCGACACAAACGGTGGTTTCCGTTCTCGCTTTGTTTTCGTTTTCCCCTCGTCCCACCTTTGCTTCTTCAGAACGAGAGCCACATGGAACGGTCCACGAAGTCGCCAAAACACCGCTTAGCTGGAGCCCGGGTTCCTTCAAAGGTGCCCCCAGCCCGAGGTGCCCCCGGCTTTTCGCTCCACTCCCGACGCCCATGGGCTCTCTGGGCCTCGTGAGGGGTACTGATGGAGGACGCGGGGGCCTCCTTGGGGATCCCGAGGGGACCTTGGGCCAGGGGCACTTCTACCAGCAGCCGAAACCCTGGGAAAGCACGTGCACCGATGGTGTCGGCCCCGGAGTGGCCGGGCCGAGATCGGGGCAGAGGCACCATGGCCGCTCTCCCTCACTGTGATTTTCGAGCGACCACGGCTGCAAGGGCGACGTCGTCTCGGCGGCGAGCGAGGGGGGGAAGGGATAAGGGGATGCCCTGACCCGGGTCGATACAAACCCGGGTCCGTCGGGCCTTGCAAGATCCTGCGAGATCCTAGCCCGGGTCAGTGCAGCCCTGGCTGTGCAGGATCCTGCAAGATCTAGCGCTCTGGCTGACCCCCGTTTGCATTGACCCCCGTCTCGGGGCTCGGGGGCGGCCAAGAGGGGGGCGTCCAAGAGTGGGGGGGCGCAAATAATGGCTGGCGGCATGTGCGCGGCCCAGGGGAGGACCAGGGACGCATTGAAACTTGAAGAGGCGCCAGAAAATCTGGGGAAATATCATGGCCCCCGCCATGATATCCACCCCCCCTAGTCATCATCCCCCTCTTGGCCGCCCCCGACCTCAGGGCTCCAGGCCCAGGGGGGGGCCAGTGACGTAATGAAACATGAAGAGGCGCCATGGGATCTGGGGAGATATCATGGCCCTCGCCATGATGGTCCACCCCCCCTAGTCCTCACCCCCCTCTTGGCCGACCCCGACGTTTCCATTGACCCCCCGTCTCAGAGCTCCCAAGTGAGAAGGGCATCCAAACGACCGGGGGATGAGGAAGCGGCCCTGGGGTATAGAGGCCGCTTTGCCCTTCACGAGAGCCTTGGCGGCGCGCCCGGGTGGACAGTGTTTTCAGTCGGGCCTGTCCCCCTACAGGAGGAATCGATTCAAACATAGCCAACCAAAAATAATATGGGGACTATGGTTTGACCATTGTTGATTCTGTTCTGGCTACCTTGAATTCTTCTTCCAATATCCGCCTGTAGGGGGACAGATGCCCGACCTGAGGGAAACGAGAAGGAGCAAGCCATCTGAGAAGAGGCTCCTCGGAATCTCACGCGCCTTCTGAGAGGTTTCCGGTGTCTTCGCGGGAGCTCTAAGAAACTCTTTAGAAGGTCGGGGGACTCCCGAGTCGGGGATATTCTGACCCGGGTCAATCCAGACCCGGGTCAGCAGGAAACCAAAAACTGCAATGCAGGAAAAAACAACTGCAGCGCAGGTCCTCACAAACCGGGGTCAGCCAATAGGCGCGGCCGCCTCGCGGCCACGAGCGGCTCGCCGACCCGGGTCAGCCAGAGGGGGTCTTCGCAGGATCCTGCAGGATCCAGTGCTGTGGCTGACCCCAGTTTGCACTGACCCCCGTCTCGAGGCTCCCGACCGAGCCTTTGGCACTCCCCCCCGGCTCGCCGCCGATCTCCCCCCAAGTCTCGAGCGCCTCTGCACCGCCCAGGGGCCGGGCCTCGCCGATGACCGCCGGATCGTTCAGCACGCGGTCCACGACCTGGAGAAGAGAAGGCGAGGCAGGGAGGAACTTGAGGGATGGAAAAAACGACCCTGCCCTGGGTTACAAGTGCGTGGTCTGTAAACCTCCCGGGGACCCCCAAAGCCTGGAGCCGCCAGGACGTGGCACATCACGCAGGGATTACCCTGTCAACCCACATGAGTTTCAGCGCACAACGCCTCGTAAACCAGGGTAGGGGCGTTTTTTTTATGCCCTTGGGGAAAGGGACGCGGAGAAGGAAGCGAAAGAGGATGCGGAGGCGGAAGGCCGAACGTGTGTGTGTGTGTCCGTGTCCACGCGGGTGTGTCTGTGGCCCGCTGGGTGCCTGTCCCAGGCTAGAGAAGCAGCCACTCTGCGAAGGCTTTTTCGGGGCCTCTACAGGAGAGCCCGTGCGGGCCTCAAAGAGTGCGGTCAGCGCTGGGTTCCAGTGGCCTGCTTGAACGCCCCCGGTGATGCCAAGCACCGGCGGGGGAGGAGAACGAAGAGGAATGAGGCCGAGGAGGAGGAGGAGGAGGCTGAGGAGGAGGATCGCCTCTTCCTCATTCGTCTCCCCGCCCTGGTGTCCGTGCAGCGGTTGGCGCCCCGTGTCAGTGGCAAAGGCGGACGGGCATCTCCTGGCTGATCCTGCCATCGGCCTAAGCCGATGCAAGAAAGTACAGACCTGCAGGTTGGCGTCTGGAGGCTTCGCTGGCTTCGGATTGGAGGTCGAGAGCATCATGGGGAGAGGCCAGGGGCGAGTGCAGGCCAGCGAAGAAGCTTGCATGTTGTGGTCGGTCCAGCTGGAGTAGGCCTGTGTTCCCAGCTGGCCTCGCACCCAGCACAGCAATCTTCTGGAGGGTCCAGGCAAAAAGCTTTGGACTACAGCCCCCCCTCGTACCGAAAGAGCCTGCGAGTGGTCGAGCGGTTACGGGGTGGCTCCTCACAATGACGTGGCCCTTGCTGGACAACTCCTTGAGCTGTGCAGGGAATCGAATCAAGACATACACGTAAAATTTCGGAGGTCCGCGCGGATTTCTCGGATCCGCGCTGGACCCCCCTGGCGGCGCCGCCGGCGCCGAGGCGCCAGGGAGGGGGGGTCCAGCGCGGCTCTGAGAAATCCGCGCGGACCTCCGAGTTGTTATGTTTATGCAAGTTTTCGTTCCCCTATTGAGCTCTGTAGCCCTCCCTCCTCCTCGTCCCTGCATGTCCGGTGGCCACAAGGCTGGAACGGATCTCGTTCGAGACCGGGCTCTCGCCGGCCGGGGCAGGCCCGCCGGGGCTCTGACGTCTTTCCACGGCCGTGGGGCGCCCCTCCCCGGCAGCGCAGAGGTGTCGGGGCAGGGACCTCTAGTGAAGGGCACATGCGCTATCGTTGATGCATCCTTCGGGGACGCGCAAATCCAGGGATCGATCGGGGGAAGTGCCCTCCCCAAAGTGCGGCCGGTGTCGCCTCGTTCGGCGGTGGAAATCCGCGATTTCCTATGGAAACGGGGCCCGTCGCTGATCCACGCCCCCTTGATCCATGTCTGCGATCGCCGGAATCCTGCCTGGGACTACTCGGGTCCTCCTCCTCCTCCTCCCTCCCTGTTTCACTGGATCCCTGCCTTCCCAGTTCCTCCTCCTCCGCCTCCTCGGTGGGGGGAGGTGGAACTCTGGCAGCGCCGCCCGTTTGCCCAGTCTCTTCCCTTCCCCCCCCTCTGGCCATCGCTCGGACGTCCATTTCCTGTGTTTTCTTCGGTTTCGTGCGTGTGTTTTTCGCCAAATGGTCGAGGATGCTCCTCGATGGTCCTCGCCGAGGAAAAATGCTCCTCGATGGTCCCTTCCCCCCCCGTTCCTCTGGGGCTGGGCGCGACGGAGCCGCGTCGGCATGGGCAGCGCCCCTGGCGGAGCCAGGGGGCCAGCTGCTGGCTGGCGAGGCTGGCACGGCTTCCTCCTCCTCCTCCTCCTCCTCCTCCTCCTCCTCCTCCTCCTCCTCCTCCTTACCCTCCTCCCCCTTCCTCCTCCTCCTCCTCCTCCTCCTCCTCCTCCTCCTCCTCCTCTTCCTCCTCCTGAGGCGAAAATCAACAGGACAAGAGTCCTCGGCGGAGTGAGGGAGGGGGGGGGCGGCGGGGGACAAAAAGCGCTGGGAGGGGGGGGGGGAGCGGGGACACAAACACATACCGATGCCGCTACTCCCCAGACCTCGCCTGGGGTGCGTTCCGACCAGAAGTTCGAGGCGAAGCCAGCGGTTGCGACGAGCGCCTCCCAGGGAGGCCGAAGGAGGGGAGAACGAGCGAAGGGTAGAGCTATGGGCCATGGGTACCTTTGAAGGGGCCCTGGGACACACAAATAAATAGACACAAATAGCAGGATTCCCCATACTTTCCAATTGGATTTGTGTCCCCCCCACTTCCCATCGTTTCCCATGTTTTCTGGGGAATCGACGATTAATTGTGTTTGTGTGTTTTTCCCTGCCTGAGGAGAGGATGGATGAAGCGGCATGAGTTTGGACACCGGAAGCGGGTACGAAGGAAATGGGTACGATGCCCAACAGCAGATGCCATCCCAAACCGACAACGGCCGCACTTGGGCAGGCGGCCTTCTGTCTCAAATGGACAACGGCCGCGGCCTTGCTAACAACGAAGCCTTTTTCAGAATGAACCAGAACTGCTGTTGGACCTTTCGGGCCGGGCGAAAGGGGGGGGATGGCCAAAGGGGGGTCTGAAAATCAGCTCGCGTAGCTGATTTTCCCGGCGCCTCCTGGCGCCGGGAGGCGCCCATCTATCGAGGAACGGGCCCCTCGGTGGGGCCGAAACCAGCTGCATGCAGCAGATTTCGTAACCCCCCTTTCCCAATCCCCCCATTTCGTTCGGCCCGAACCTTGTACCCGTTGTTTCCGTACCCGTGTCGATCGCCCCGAATGAGGCTTCCTGCAAAAAAAGGGGAAGGGGGGGGGCCGAGGCCCTGGAGGGCACAGGCGGGCACGAAGGAAAACCTCCACCTCCTCCCAACGCTGCAGGTCCGCCTGCGGGAGGAGGAAAAGAAGGAGGAGGGGGAGGAGGAGAAGGACGACGACGACGACGAGGACGAGGAGGAGGAGGAGGAGGAAGAGGAGGAGGAAGAGGAGGAGGAAGAGGAGGAGGAGGGGGAGGAGGAGAAGGACGACGACGACGACGACGACGAGGAGGACAAGGTCGAGGAGGAGGAGGAAGAGGAGGACAAGGTCGAGGAGGAGGAGGAGGATGAGGAAGAGGAGGAGGAGGAGGAGGAGGAGTAGGAGGAGAAGGACGACGACGACGACGACGACGACGAGGACGAGGAGTCCCTCCGACTGCGCAGACCTCCGTCCGCAGCTCCGTCGGCCCAGGACGCTGGAGGCCCGGGCCCCGCGCGTGGCCTCGCGCCGCCGCGAGCCCCGCCGCGGGCGACGCGGGGCCAGCCTCTGGCTGCCCATACAGGGCAGTTTTTAACACGTCGGATGTTTTAACATATAGGATTTTTAATCAGTGATTAATGTATGAATAAATGTATGCATGAACTCATCGTTGTTTTTAATACTAGAGCCCTGCATGCTTAATACATGATCCGCACGCAGAGCATGTATAAAAAACGGCACTGTATTCGGCACAGGGGCAGCTGGCCTCTGGAGACTGCGCCTGCCTCGCGCGGAACAAATATTCGGCGGACCTGCCTCCTCTGGGGGCCTCCTAGATGGGCCTCTGGAGATTCGCGCCTGCCTCCTCCAGAGGCCTCCCAGATGGGGTCCGAGCAGATGAGGTCGGAGGATCTCGCCGCATCGCCGATGCATTGGCGATCCATCGGCCATGTACTGGCGACGTCGTCGGTACATCCGCGACGTCGGCGTGGAGAAGATAGGGCCCCACATCGAGCCGCATCGCCGATGCATCCCTGATGCATCGGCGATGCGGCGCGATCCTCCGACCCCATCTACTCCGACCCCATCTAGGAAGCCTAGGATGTAGGACGACGGCGCTAGAAGCTCCACGCTGCTCTCAAGCATGTTTTTTTTGCCCGGCTGAGGGGGGAACGGGAGAAGCAAGACGACGACGACGAAGGCGCAGGCGGGAGGCTGTGGCCGCTGCGGCTGGCGGGTTTGGCGGGCACGCGGGAGGGGAACCGGGAGGAGACAGCGGCAGGGAGCAGGAGGAAAGGGGGAAAAAGGCAGGGGGACGAAGCGCGTGGCAAGATGCTATGGCCGTCATGATTTGCTTCAGCGGCGCATGCATGTATCCATCTCGCATTCCATCCACCATGTGGTTTGTTTGTTTGTGTATTTTCATCTCTCTCTCCGTCTTTTTTTCTTTCTCTCCCTCTCTCTCTCCCTTCCCCATTTCCCACGTAGTCCATCGAATCATCCGTTCCCCATGATCAGCCACAACAAACGGTACGTCCTGCTTGGTCAACGCCTGCGCGCCAACCGTCACCTCATCCATTTGCAGAGTGGTGACGACGAGGTCGCGGAAACCAGCGGTCACATCCTGGAGCGGATGCTGGGGGCGACGGCGACGGCAACGGTGCGTCACTGGGGGGTATTGGCGCTGCTCGAAAAAAACGACGGCTCTGCCATGACGCGGGGTGGGAATAGTGATTGCACGTGTACGCGTACACCCGCCACCGTACATCGAAGGGCTGGCGACATGTTGTCAAGTTTCAACGAGTTCTCTGTCTTGAATGCAAGCCCGGCCCCTAACCAGGCAAATCCGTAACCGAACCGGACACAACCCAGGTCGACACTGCGCCAATCCGAACCTGACGAATGTAATCTGACGTGACCAACGGCTGGGCGACAGCAGTGCGTCACGCGCGCATGATGTAGCAAATGGTGCACCGAAGTGGAGCGACATTGCAGCACGCAGCGAATGCGTAAGTGCCAAATGTATCACTGATCCCTGTTCGGCTCCGGTGAGGAATCTGGCCACAGCTGAGGCGAGAACAATTTTCGAAATCGTGGATGTGGGCCACGCTGAGGCGAGAACCGAACTCGCAACCGTGGATGTCGCCAGCGCTGGAGCGGAAACGATTTTCGCAATCATGACTGTGGTTGGCACCGAAGCGAAAAAACAACATTTACAATCGTGGATGTGGCTGGCACTGACGCGAGAACAACAATCGCAATCGTGTCTGTGGCCGGCGGTGATGCAAAAACAACCGTCGTACTCGAATCTGTGACTGGCGCAATCATATCTGTGACCAGCGCTGCAGCGAAAACGACGTTCGAAATCATTGATGTGGCCGGCGCTGGGGCGAAACGGCGCTCGGTGCCTGCGGGTTTGTTCCGAAGGTTTGCTCCCGCGCCCGAGCAGCTCGCAGGGTTGTCCCAAAGGCCTGGCCCGCGGGATTGCCCCAACAGCTGCGCGATGTGGCCATTCGGGAATGCGCCCGTGCTGGCCGAGGCGGCGACGGCGCCGAGGGAAATCGGCACGCGCGCTCGTGCACTAGAGAGGGGGAAAGGTGGCGGGGGGGCGAAACAAAAACAGGAGGGCGAGCAGGGGGCAACGTAGGGAGCGGGATAAGGGCCTGCGCCAGGGCGAAGAAGGAGAAATATGCAGAGGAGACAGTAAGGACGCGCCACCAATCACGAGGACGACGGAGAGGGGCATTTCCAGACTAGCCGAGAGGATTTTCATGTGGGGTGCGACCGCCAGATTTTGTGATATAAAAAGAGCAACGACGCTGTGGAGTCACAGGCGAAACCAATATCTATCCTTACAACACCGTTATAATCCTGTGCAAACAGAGGTTCTCAAAGACTCCATCAATTCCAATATAACTACTTCTTTTTGTGAGATATTGCAAAATCAAAAAAACTTCTTGTGCCGGAACAGAACAAATTCCTCTTGTGGTGGAAAACTCATAAACTCCTTGTGGCAGGATGCACAACTACTCCCTTTGTGGAGGGTTACACAAGGATTTCTTTAGTGGCGGAATGCATTAATATGGCTTTTGTGGCATAATGCAACATAGTTCCGTATGAAGCAGATTACACAATAAGTAATTCCTCTTTTTCTGTAATTGCACAAGGATTTCCTCACTTGCGGAATACAGTAGTAGTCCCTCTATGGTGGAATGTAAACGTTTTCCCTGTGGCGGGATACACAAGAAATTCTCTTGTGGTGGAATACAAGAGGATTTCTTTTGTGGCGGAGTGCTAGCTGCTAAAGGTTTCATCTTGTGTCGGAGTACTAGGGATTCACTTTGTGGTGGAATACACAAGGATTCCTTCTCCCCCACCCCCACATCCCAAGGACAACCCCCCACCCCACAACGAATGCGAAAAACTCCGTTGTACCAGGGACACTCTGTTGAGTCTTGGCTGTCCTAAAGGTTTCTGCTCACGACGCGATGGGGATCTGGGTCCTAAGGGCCCCCTTGCTTCATTGCGAGAGGTGGAAGACCCCTAAAAACGGGAGCGGCCAAGAAGGGGGTGTCCAAGAGGGGGGGGTGCAAATCATGACCGGCGGCATGTGCGCGGCCCAGCGGGGGGACCAGGGACGTAATGGAATAAGAAGGGGCGCCATGAAATCTGGGGAAATATCATGGCCCACGCCATGATATCCACCCCCCCCTAGTCATCACCCCCCTCTTCTCCGACCCCTTTAAAAACAACGCGAGGACAAAGACAACATCGACCCGGGACACGCCGGGGACCTCTGAGCTCCGGCGGTTCTGGAGAACACCCCGCGGCCGTCCCAGGGCGACCCTGACCGCTATGGGAGCACTCGGGGACCGTCTGGAGCGACATCCCTCCGAAGATCTTCGCCTGAAACCTCTTGGAGAAGAGGCATGCCCGAGCTTGTCGAATCGAAGAAACGGGATCGGGATCGGGAGCGGCTCGGACCGCCAGCGAACCGTCCAGAGTCGATTCGACATCGGAGATCGCCGCGGTTGGCTCCGGCTGGCCCCGCCCGACCCCCCTTCTCCCCGGACCTCTCCCGGGGTGCATTCTTGATCATAATTTCGAGGCGAATCCAACTGTGGCGACGAGGGCCTCCCAGGAGGCCCAAGGGGTACAGTAGGAGCTCG